CCCCCCCGCAGGCCCAAACATACAAATTTCATCAACAAGCCAGGCAGAAACAGACCATCAACAATATCGCTATATATCGCTATTAAACCAATAATTCCATCCCGACACTTGAACGTAACAAACTTAAAAAAAACAAAAAGGATACCACACAATAATTCCACAACACCCTCGCCGCGCGAAGCCTAGGTCCTTTTGCAACCTTTTGCATTTTGTTTCGACTCTCACTCTCGCACGCAGCTGGGACCCTAAACCCTAGACCCTAACGCGAGGAGCCACAGTAGCAACGCGTTCTGTCACGTGCTTTCTGACGTCGCTAATTCAAGAAACCTGGGACCTGGAACATCCCAGCGCAGCAACACACAACAGATGTGGTCGGCATTGATCTACCGCAGCATCCCAGACCTTCGGCCGAAACATGTGGTGTGCGAATAAAACCCACATGACGCGAGAGGCGAAAGCAGCGAAGCCAAGCAGGCCGGCCCCCGCAGCCACCGAAAGGACCTGCGTGACGGGTTGCTTCCAAGTGTCATCATTCGAAACATCCCTGGCGCAATTGCTATAAGTAGTTGCCTTCCTCCAACGAAATTGCCAGTGAAAATAAGAACCAGAAGCGCTGATGATCCTGCAGCTGGCGGCATGAGCATGACGGGTATGATCCTGAACCTACTGCTGAGGATGAAGCTGGTGGTGACGATGATGATTGTTCTACATGGCAAGGATGATTGGCAGGATGAGGTGGTCTCTCTGACAGTGTAATGATTCCGATACCCCCATGTAATTCCATCTGAAATGCGAAGGGGCCAGATGGCATACTGCAAATAGGCTTGTGGCTCCACATGACGCCCGGTTCCGACATGAAGTTTGCGTGACGTGTACAGTCTACAGTACAGGATCAGGATCGAGATTTGAGGGTGAAAAGCTGTATCGTATGGGCACAGCTGATGGGAAGATGGGGACCGGGATCTCGAGATCGTTGGTGACTGTGGCACTTTGATTTCGGACCCCGCCTTCTCGATAATATATTTAAGGCATGGCTGTTCTGGAGGTTGCCCTTCAGCTCCCGCCGAGTTCGACACTTCGTAATGGAGTTCCATGATGTTCCATGCTTCACGCTGCGACATCTGACACAAAGGCTTGCGACCCTCACCGCTTCTTGGACCGAAGCTCTGGAGCTGAAGATACGGCCAAGCTACGTTGGCCAGCCGAACTTGGAGTCGAGCAAGGCACCCACTATCCTCGCTGAAAAAGTCTCACCACAACCTCCGCCAAAGCATATTGACTCCGGGACCGCTACCAACACCACCAGATCAAGCAATGCTGTCGCTTGCGGATTCACGTCTGCGGCCGGGCTGCATATTTCCAACAGCCCCTGCGAACGAGGCGGAGAGAGTAACGAAGCCAGCCTTGAGAAGGTCTCGGTTTACCGCTTCCAGGTGCTAAATGCAGCCCGAAAATTGTGAAGCACTCGAACAAGGCCTGAAGGACCAAACTGAACAACATAGCAGGTGTACGAGGCAAGACTCTGGGACCCGGAGCACCCAAACCTGGGTCCAAAATTACGCGGCAAAGACGATGGTTAAGAGACGGCACCGATCCAGGGTCGGGCAACATGACTTTGCGATCTCAGCGTTGGCACTTTGCTTCAGGGATGACGATATTGGGATTTCTAAACTATCTGGTGCTCAACTATGGATCCGCTGCAGAGGAGAGTCCACGATTTTCTGAAACTGCTTCATATACGCGACCTGAAGTTGACTGTGCGAGTCATACAAGTCTGCGCGTGCACGCGGCGCACCCTCGAGGCGTTCGACACTCCCCCGACATCCACGATGTTCAAGCTATGGCCTTCGGAGATTCATCGGCCGTGCCTTCAAATCAACAACTGAACTGCGTCTCTTTGGCAGCGCGCCAACACGGTCACCTCCGAGCATCTGATTAACACATCCCACATTTT